GGAAAAAGAGAAGTGCAGCTGCTCTGAAATCTCCTGAACTGCCCCTGGGCACATCAATCCTCCTTTCCCTGCCTTCTCTCAGGGATGAGGAGGGCATCCAGCTTTTCCCAAGGGTCACAGTTCAACACAGACTTGCACTGGCTCTGCCCTGCCCCGTTCCATTTGCTCCCATTCCCAAAGCTCTCCCTCCTGCCCGGCTGCACCTCTCCATGAGGAAAGGCAGCTCCTGCTCCCAGGAGGGAAATCCTCCTCCCACACTTCATGAGATCCAGGAAAAAGCACAAGAGTCAGTGCTCTCAGTGCCCTGCTGGGTCTTGGGGAGCACCTGAAGGAAACACTTCCTCCCTCCCCCATTGTTTCCCCCAAACCCTTCACTAACATCAGAGGGAAATTTTCCAGCTAGGAAATCAAACCTGGCTTTCCCCCAGAGCAGCTCAGGTGATAACTGCTTAGCTACCAGCAGATTTTATTATACCAAGAGACCTTCTCCTTTTGTTTTCCATCAAACTGATTTTCCAGCTCTGCTCTCTACCAGTCAATGCATCTGCTTCTCTATTTCTTGCTTGTCAGGCATGAGGGCTGTGACGTGCTGCTGTCACCTGAAGGGACACACGAGGCACAGAGGCAGGCAGGCAGACATGGAAATGCATGTCCTGAAATATTAAAAATCATCTGGGATCCAGGTGTGCTTTCAGAGTTTCTGGTCATCCAGAGGCAGCGATGCATTAAGTTGGAAAGCAATTTTATTGAATAATATTGGAAAGGTTGCTCACAAAAAAATTTAGGATGGGGACTATGGAGCTCCCCCAGTGGTGCAAGTCCAGCTCAGCCAATTCATGAACTTCCACCAGCCTGGGATTTCTACCTGAATCAACGTGGAAGAGTAAAGAGATGTGTGGATATTCCTCAGGCCAAGCCAAGGCCTCACCCACGCTTTGCACTCATCATGCCCAGGCACAGCTCTGCCCCGGGGGCTCACAGCCATGGAACCCAGGAAAAGCTCCTGGCCAGGGGCTCCTGCAGGGCACATCCCTGTCAGCCACCCCAGCAACAGGGACAGACCTTCTTCCCCAGACTTTGGGGCAGAAATGAATGAAAACATCCCAGAAGTGGATGAGAACATCCCTGTGCCCCTGCTCAGAGCTGCTGTGCCTCTCGCCCCCCAGCACTGTGCTGAGGCTGAAGGAGGCACGGGCACTCGGGGCTGCTCGGCCAGAATTTGGGGTTTTATCCCCGAGGAGCTGAGAGCCGATGGCTGGTTCCCATTGTCAGGAACCTTCCCCTACCAGATGTCAACTTCAAGAGTCCGACAGTCTGCTGTTCCAGGGAAAACCCATCCCGCAGAGTTCCAGCCTCTAAGAGCCAGCCGCAGTCCAAACAGCGCCCAGCTTCTCCAGAAGGCAGGTGGCCTCAGCGTTACCTTTCTTTGAGAAGGCAAAGGTGCCAAGCACAGCCTCCAGGCTGCTGCCATGGAACTGTGCCAGAGGGAGACGCCAGCTTCGGGTCTTCAACCGAGGCTGCAATTCCACCTCAGGTCACCAGACCCCGTCCCTTCAGGGCAGGCTGCAGTACCACGTCGGGGTCACCAGAGCCTGGTCCTCAGGGTAAGGTGCAATTCCACATTGGCAGTCACCAGATCCATTGGCACCAGCACGACCCCAGTGCCCACCACATCCACTGGCACCAGCACGACCCCAGTGCCCACCAGATCCATTGGCACCAGCACGACCCC